TTATTTCATTTATGGGCTAAGTAGGTACTTTTATTTACGTCGCTCTAGAGCTGCACAATGGGCTATTGGCGACGATCTGGGAAACATCCCTGATATGTTCCGAAGACTTCCCATTGCAATTTCGATTCTTTTCAGAGGGGATGGCGCCTCTGCTTTGGTAGAAAGACGACCTGCGCGCAAAGTCGATCACTTTACAGTAGAACAGTTTTACGAGGACGAATACCGCTCACCCTCGGTCCCTACGCAGACTAATTAAAGTGATCACCCACTCGCTCACTGTCCTTTGCTAGTGATGCTTAATTTCGATGCTCTAATGGGAACAGCGATCATTCCACTGTGAGTATTTCGAAATTNCACCCTCGGTCCCTACGCAGACTAATTAAAGTTAATTAAAGTAATCACCCACTCGCTCACTGTCCTTTGCTAGTGATGCTTAATTTCGATGCTCTAATGCAGTGTTCCCCAACCCCCGGTCCGCGGACCGTTACCGGTCCGTGGATCAAATGCTTCCGGGCCGCCCATTTCATTTTGAAACTGAATTTAAATTCCTAGGTTTATACCCCTAATTAAAAATATCTGTGTTCCATTAAAATTCCATTTATTTTTTAAAAAATGGCCCCGAAGTTAGGAACATAAATTTTTTAATGTTTTAAAAATTAAAAAGATTGCCACCACAGCACTTAAATCCCTATTGCCATTTCCGACAACCTATCTGTGTGTGTTTTCTGTAGTAACAGCAACCAAACAAATCTACGGAATAAACTGGACATAAGCAGCACACTTTGGGTGTAATTGTCTCCGATTACCCCCAAATGGAACCGTCTCATTGCAAAGAAACAAGCTCAGGGTTCTCGTTGATTTAACGTTCTAGTAAGTTAAAATGTTAAATCACTTTATATTTATTTTTTTATGTAACTGTATTTTATTTTGAAGGCATGTTTAAATACAATTACATTAAAATAAATGACCCCCCCCCCTCCCCAGCGGGCTGTGGTAAAATTATCAAACGTTGACAGGTCCGCGGTGATAAAAAGGTTGGGGAACACTGCTCTAATGGGAACAGCGATCATTCCACTGTGAGTATTTCGAAATTTCATTGACAAAAGCAAAAGCCAGTGTCACCACCTCGTTTCGGTAAATTCTCTAGTTAAGGTCCTTTTTGCATTCTTATTGCACTTGATCACCTAACTTGACAGAATTTGGATTATCTCTGAACTATTTTCTTGCGATTTTGTTATTGATCGATTCTCTGAAATATTTCATCAATTATACGGGAGTTATTTTAAAGCTTGAAAAAAAATGCCGTAAAAATGTTAATGAAAAATTTAAGTAAAAAAAAAAATTACATTTTAAAAAATTTTCGCGAATCGCAGCCTTTCGAAAAATGAACGCTTTATAAAAAAAAAAATAGTTACAATTTTACTGAAATTCGCCTCCCAACAAATCCTTTAGTATGTTTAACTAATACACGTTTCCATCATACAATTTTTCATAAAGTAGATAAAATCTTTTCCCGAAATTTGTAAATATTTTTTTTCAAAATAAAAGAACGTTAAAAAAATGTGAATAAAACACAACTGAAAGTACATAAATAGACAGATTTATCCACGTTATTTTATGCTACACAAAATATATTCTTTGTTGAAATCATTTCAGATAAAATTCTTTTATATCGTCTAAGAGACGTGAATGAAAGATGCACTTTAATATAAATTTTACTCATTTTTATAAATATCTGAAACATATTTATTCAATACAGGGTGTCCTAAATTAAATTAAGATTTTCAAAAATTATAACTAGATAACGATAAGAATCAAGGTAAGATTTCCTAAGAAAACAAATTTTGCAATAAATGCATGTGATGAGCCATACATTTTCCCGTTTAGAATTCCAGCTTTTAGTTCGAAAATTTTCTGAAAGAAGGCGCTGTGACCTATTTTTTTTCATTTTGTTTTGACTGGATTGATTTCATGAAGCGTTTATGATAGCTGAATTCTGATCGAGAGTATTTGTGTATTCTTTTGCTCAGTTGTCCAATTGTTGTTGGTTTTACAACTGATAGTGGACATTTTGAAAGTTTTATAATGTCATTCATTAAAAGATTTCGAAATTCTCAAATTTCTGATTTTCAAGCCTTTTTTAAGACAGTATTTTATAGCATTTCTATCTGCTGCGCTATTAGTTGAAAACTAGTTGTCCACTAAAATTCGACTTTTTTTTTTCTTTGGAAAGTATAAACTCAAGATTTTTTTTATGAAAAGCTTAGTTATATTATTATAGAAGATAGCTGAAAACTCCTCACCTCTCCTCTATACGCTTATCTGTTTCATTCTTTTTTCTTTCTTTTTTTTTAAAAAAAACTTTTTTAACCGTCGTTGAGCAGCGGACCCAATATTTGGGTTTCCGAATACTAATGTTCAACTACGTAGACTTGTATTTTTGAACCCCATCCCGAAGACAAGGGAACTCCTGGATCATGTATTGGGAGAAATTTGCCTTCGTGGAGGACTTTTTGATGGAACTAACCCGCATTTGCGTTACATGAAGAGGAAGACCACGAGAACCTTCTACGTTTAGCCTGACGGCTAGGAGACTCTTACCCATGATCCTTCTACCACTGAGGATATTTCAAGTCAGCACTGTGATCAGTGCAAGCCGGAAGCGGATCTACCAGCCATCGTTGGGATTCGAAACGCTCTATCCCGTGAGCACGGCTTTTGAGGAAAATGGGGGAGAATTGAATTTTTTCCAGACAAGCAAGTAATGCCGTTGTATTGAATGAGACTGATTTCGAGACGATCGGATTATTGGAGTTATAAGAGTTTTAGGAATAAGAAGTGCAAATTTGTACTTTTATCAATTTACTTATCTGATATTTCTATTGAAACAAGTAAGACATTGACTCTGCATCAAATGAAACTATACATTAGTCAATGAAACAAATTGTTTAAAAATTGCAATTTTACTTCATTTGACACTTAAGTATTGACTTTACATTGCTCTCCAAGGACTATCAGAGCATTTAAGGTGCAAATGAGAAGGTGAATAAATTTTGAGCAGACTAAATATGCTATTCTCATTTTATTCCCATTTAAGTTTGAAAGAGTTTATGCAAACAAGCTTAAAAAAATAATATAAGTTTATACATATACTTGCATATTCCTTCAAATGTATCTTATGTAAATTATATTAATTAATGAGATGTAATTTATTGAGTAAAAGGAAAAATGACTTTAAATGCTTTTATATTGTTTCTATCTTAATTTTTTTTTAAATTACGATTTAACAAAAACTTGTCGGCAATTTCAAATTTAGTTCATAAAAAAATATCAATATTTTCTTGTCTTTTACAGTGCGTAATTTTTTTAATTATTAAACCAGAGCAATTTCTTATTCTGGAGCAATTTCTGCTCCAGAATATTATACTTATTATTTTCCAGAGAAATCTCTATTTTGGGATATTTTTTTTAACAAATTTTATAAGAAAGATTGACATCATTAAATTAATATGTTAGAAAATTTAAGATTTGGAAATACTTTACTTTTTCATAATAATCAGCAAAAAATAAAAGGTACATTTATTTATGAAAATTATGAATACAATTTTAAAGTTTTACAATCTTAAAGATCGAAATATTTTTCTAAATTACTTATAATTTATTTATTATTATTACTTTATAATTATTACTGAGCTAAATTTTTTTGTCCTATTTTAATATTATATGCGTCGTTTATTTGTAAATAATTGCAGTGTTTGTGTTTAGATTATTTCCACTTTGAATTTAAATGTATATCATGCGATTGTGAATGAATTCTTTACAACCTATTCTAAAATAAAAATGTTATGAATGTGCCAATAAAATTATAATTTCTTTATTTGATTCTTTTCTGCCATGATATAACATATTTTTATTTGTCTCTTATTCGTTTCCGCATTAACATGTATCATTTCTTATTTTCAAATGTATGATTAAATCTAATATTTGATTACATATTAGAAAATAATCTATTATATACTTAAACAAGCTTTATTCTTTTGATGTTAAAAATAGTTATGATGAATCAAGATTTAGAATTAAAAGAAAAAAAATTCTTATTAAATCATTTTCTATTATGAAATACACATATATTGCATCATAAAAAGCATCTCAGAGTCCTCCTACATGTTCATGTTATTGAGTTATAACGTGATAAATAGCATTGATTTATTCTAATAAAGAGCTAAAAATTCACCCCTTAAAAGTATTTAAGTGCTATTAAATTAGTTAAAGCAAAAATATTTTACGTCGCTCAAAAATTTGAACTATTTTTTAAAGTTTTCTCTTAATGCAAATCTGAATACCGCGTTATCATATGGTTCGATAACAGTTCCGATGATGACGTCACAAACCTACTGAGAAGCCTTGATTCTCGGGGGCTATGGTTATGTTCGGTAGAGAATCAGTGGTGTCATCTATATTTGAATGCAAGAATTATAAATTTTAAATTTCGGAAAAAAGGAAAATAAATTAAAATAATAATTAGGTCTATAAGTATTTATGAAGCAGAACAAATGTTGATTTATAAATTATAGTAATTTAAATTAGTGAATATAAATAATAAAGAGGTATTACCATTAATAAAATTAATCTTTGGTAATATGATTTAAAAATAAATTAAAATATATTTAAATAATAAACTGTCATTTTTTTAACATTAGATACGAATCGTATCTAATAATATAAAAATAATAATTTAATATTTAAATATATTTTAATTTATTTTTAAAACATATTACTAAAGATTAATTGAATTAATATAAAAACCTTTTTATTACAGTAATAAGGTTAATTTATTTTTATTTCATGTAACTAAACATTAATTTAATAACTCCGGCTACTAATACATATTAAAATATATATTTTATGAATCATATCTAATGTTATAACAATGCATTTATTTAGCATTATTATATATTTATTTATCCAACTATTTTCAAAAATAATTTTTATCAACATAGAGAATGAAGTGAAAGATCCAGATATTGAATATATTGAGCAAACAACTATAGCAAAAGATACAACTGAGTCTACTTCATTAGAAAACATCATGCTCTGGATACTCAAAGTATGCATACAATTATTATTTTTTTTTCATTGCATACAATTATTATTTGAATAGCAAAAATCTATTTGAAATTTCTTTTTCAGATTTCACAAAAAGATCACTCCCATAGTAAGTTTCATTTTGTTATTTTTTTTTTAAATTTATTCAATAAATAATATTTGAAACTATACTTAAAATGATTGTTGAATTTCGTTAAGGTCGGAATCAAGGACCTCAAATGATTGTTATATATCATTTATAAAATCAGAATGAAAGTATATAGTGACAGAGTATAAAATGAGGAATTTCAGTCTCGTATTGGAAAAATTAGCTCAAAATAGTTCATTGTAAAAATAAAAATAAAAAACATTATATGAAAGAGGAACTCTAGGGCTAACATAGCAGACTGAAGTCCTTCGCTGATCCGAGCCGAAACCTTTCCTAATCAATGACCCCTACTTTAAATGGTTATATCTCGTCTGAACCTGTAACGGTGACTATAATGAGGTATAACTATTTAAAGTAGGGGTGAGGGGTCACTGTCTAGGACAGTTTTCAATTCACGTCAGCGAAAGAAACTGAATCTTTTTCATCTGTCTAGAGTGAAGAGAGGATACCTTCCCTCACTATTCTTGTTTCCATTCTTGTATTCTTGCCTCAGACTTTGTGGACGGGGGGAGTTCTTGCCGTAGACAAACAATAGCGAAACTTTAAAATATCTTTGATCTGGGGATTGCGGGGTCCTGGCTTCGTCAACATTGTATAGCCACCCCAAAACCAAAAAAAAAAAAAAAAAANTTGTTTCCATTCTTGTATTCTTGCCTCAGACTTTATGGACGGGGGGGAGTTCTTACCGTAGACAAACAGTAGCGAAACTTTAAATTATCTTTGATCTGGGGATTTCGGGGTCCTGGCTTCGTCATCATTGTATAGCCACCCCCCCCCCCAAAAAAAGGATTTGTCCATCTTCTGGTTTAGTTATTAATTTTTCAATCTTAATAATCTAACTCAATTTTTGTGTTTTTTTGCTTAAAATGGGAATCCAATGGAAGATTTGATTGATTATGCTAATGATCACTTTCCGTTGGGAAATTATTATTACTCTTTGAGTAAGGTTGCTTTCGATTAATTTTTTTTAATAATATCGATTAAGTGCTTTATTGGTTTTTTGTTAAAATTTTATTTTTTATTTTAAAGTTAGTTAAAATTTTAAAAATACCGGCTATCTTTGAATTTTGCTATTTAAAAATTTTCGGCTAATTTAGTTTACATTTTTATTTTCTTTTAATTTTAATTTCTTCAGTTTAAAATAAAAATGTGTGTCCCTTACTCTCAAATTCTTTCGACAGCAATTATATTTAATAATAATAAATAACTAACTAAAAAAATTCTTTGTATAAATTCGCGTTTAGATTTAAAAAAAATGTATACTTGTATGAAAAACTGTTTTGATCCTCTTAAATAGTTCCAATGATGAAGTATACCATAATTGAAAGCTATACTGCAGCTATATATTTCGATCACTCTTATGAGCAGCCTATAATGTACTTATTTTCTAAATTGCAGCAAAATCGTTCTCCAAATTACAATTCGATTGCCATAGAATGCACATTAAGTTGCTCAATCTGTCGAATGCTCATAAGTATAAACTATTGTGTACTAATTTCACAAAATGCAGTTACCAATTTCCATGTTTTTAGGGTCCAAAGCGTCCAATTCCCTAAATTCATCGGAGGGAAATATATATATTCAAAGAAATTAAGATTTGTGTCAGATTTCTAAATTTAAAATGTAATCTGTAGAATTAAATTTTTATTTAATTTTATAACTGTTGTCGATTCAATTTTTCGGATTTCTGACAACTCCAACACCATAGCCTTGTAATTTTCAACTCTATCAAGTGAACTCCTAGATCAAGTACTGGGAGAAATTTACCTTCGTGGAGGACTTTTTGATGGAACTAACTCGCGTTACACAGTGAGGAAAGCCACGGAAACTTGCCACGGTTAGTCTGAAAGCAAGAAGACTAACTCATGATCCGTCTACCACTGAAAATATATTACTTCAGCACTGTGGTTGGTGCGAGCCGAGTGCGGAATTTGAATTGACCTGCCATTGTTGGGATGCGAACCCGGTTCACCTCTTTGGAACGCAAGCGCCTGGTTGGCAAGGCGCTGGACTCACGTTCGTGAGAATAGGAGTTCGAATCCAGCCAGTTGAAGAATCCCCGGTGCAGTAAACGGTGATTGGTGCACCTTGAATCTGTCGGGTAACAAAGTCCTCCATGTTTCCATTATAAATGATGCTTCTGGGATTACAGAATAGGAGACACGTCGTTCTCTGGTTTAGGTCGAAATTACAATCTTTGGATGAATGAATGGTTGAATGTATGAGTCCGCTCTATTGGGTGTGATGTATGGGTGTGGTAGAAGTCAAATTCTTGGCTACAGATGGAGCCACTAGAAAACAAAAACAACTGCTCCCCTTTCCGTAATGACCTATGACAACAACAACAAGGTTTCGAACCATTAGAACTACTGAAATTCTTCGATTAATAATAAGTAATAAATAATCATTATTTGCTGCATCGATGTCTTTGAATAAAAGACAATTATATCAAAACAGTTTTTTGATTCGTTAAAAAAATCTTTAAAATTTTGAGAAATAGACAAAATGTAAAATTAACATTAAAGAGCTAAAAGTTTTGACCGCTCATCTGAATAACTCTTGGAATCATATAATAATATTTATGGCTAATCCCTTCCCTATTTTCATGGTCAAAAATTTAAAACCGTGGATAAAAGTAGGTGTGCATTATAAAAATAAGAGTGTTTTTGTGTCTAGTTTCATAACTTACCTAAAATATAGCTTTTATGAATTAGCATATTAATTGTCATCCATTTGCACTTAATTTATGAAAATCCGATCATTATATTAAAAGTTATTTAAGGCACATTTTTTTTTGACCCGTTGAGTCTCATATCATTCACTTTTTGAACCATTATTTTTGAAAGTTGCGCAAATTTATTTGGAGCTAAAAAAGTAGTTTATTTATTTATTATTTTTTTAACGATATTAATGATCATTTTTGCATTTTCATATTTTATCAAATTATAATGTTAAAAACATCATCCAAATTGAGTTACCATTTCCAGTTTCTTCAATTTCATTCAAACACTAACACTTAAAGCAAATCGGTTATATAGCACTTTTCAAGTGAAATTAGTCCACTTTCAGAAATAATGGCACATTTCTGAATGGCACTTACCAAAAAACATTGAAAAAATCTTAACTATTCATTACTCCATGTTAAGAATATTTTTTCAAAACTCGTAGAAAAAAGTATAAATAAGAGCGATTATTTATCAATATTCTTTAAAAAGAAAATAAAACATTCACAAGGCGTGCCGTAATCGCCACTCACTATGTAAATTTTTAGAATTCTAGTCTTAGAAAGGGTAAAAGAGAAATATATACACATTAATGATAGAAAATCAATATATTTAAATAGTAAAAGTAAATTTTTTTTTAGTCTGACAAAATAGTTACGAAATAAGCAGGATACAAAAATGTTTGCCAATTATCGGACACATCTTCAAGTTTCATCCGCATTTAAGAGCATCCTGGAAAACTCTCGTTGTCAACTTGAATTTGAAACATCATACTAATCCATCTCCCTCAGTGTTGATATTGGGTACTTAAGCATACGATGACCTCTTGTTCGTATTTCTGGCATTTTGATCACCAACCATAACATTTCAGATTTGTTATGATCCAGGGCTTTTCCTATCCTATTTCATACCTATATAAGCAGTCCAACTGTATGTTGTCCGTACTGTCCTGACCTTCTTAGATACAAAACAATCCTCGCAGTTGCCTTGGCCAACACATTGATCTTTAAAACATTGAAAGTAGTTAATGGTTGCCGAGTGATTGACTCGTAACTACTTGCCAATTACAACAGCCAACCACAGTGCTGAAGGGAAATATCCTCATTGGTAGACGGAACATGGGTTAGTCTCCTTGCCTTAAAGCTAACAGTGGAAGGTTTTCGTTTTTTTCCTCTCCCTGTAACGTAAATGCGGGTTAGTTCTCACAAAAAGTCCTCCACAAAGGCAAATTTCTTCCAATACTTGATCCACGAGTTCCCTTATCTTCTGGATTGGGTTCAAAATTACAAGGCAACGTAGTTGAACATTTGTAGTCGTAAACCCAAACATTGGGTCGGCTGTTCAACGACGGTTATAAAAGATAAAATTATAAAGCATTCCATACAACCTTTGTTTAACTTCTTGTACAGACGGAAAAATGCTATTATTATATATATATATATACGTTATGTTTGAGAGAAAAAAATGTATGTTTAACTATATGTTCAATAACTACCATTCTGATATTTGTATTCCTTTTTTAATGCAGTAATTTTAGTGTTCAGCAGTGTATATTTAGAGTGGTAATAACGAAACTTCATGCTATTTTGCAATAACATTCTTTATTTCTTCTCTTCGATCTAAGGATTGGTTATATTATTAAAAAGTGATTCAGTTAGAAACAATTTTAAACGAGCGTTTAAGTAGAGTATAAAAACTCTCTTTTTTTTTTCCAGATTCAGAAGAAGGGGTTTATTTTTATTTATCAGCCTTACCCCTTTTTGCCAGTCCTATTATACTATTTAGGCTTTTAAAACATCACTTTTTGACCTGCCGTAGTCGTACCACTGTATCAACTTTAAAAGGAACATTATCTCAAAAAGAAATATCATTTCGAAGGCGTCGAGGGAAGTTACTTTTCTCCAGTTTACGCAGAAAAGAAAACTCTGGTGAAGCTGCTGATATTCTTGCTTTTCAAAGAGAACTTCTCAACTTGCCAACATATGATACAAAGGTTAGTAAATATTATAGAGATTTCAATCATTATTCGAATCAAATATTTGAAATTAGGTTTCATCAGTTTTTAGGAAAGTTGGATTTTTGTCACATAAAATATGTGAGATCTGTCTAACCAGAATGATTTCACGAGCCACTTTGATCACAGCGGTCTTACTTATGGTTAACATGCTTTTAAAAAAGTGTAATATAAATGATACCGGATAAATATGAAATGGTGGCAGTTTATGGAATGCCTAGGTATTGTATGTAATGCCGGATGTTTTTAGGCAAGGTATGAAATGTTACATACTTTCCCTAGGGATTGTATACAATACCTAAGCATTCTATAGAATGACAAAAGCTATTTAGGCAAAGTATGAAAAAAAAAACGTCCTGATGAGGTTATTATGTAAATGATGTGCATTTCTCAAAAATAAAAATGTTATTCTGAAAAAATAATGAGATTGCCATTAAAAAAAATTATTCAAAATGCGTAAAGAAAAATGAAAGTTGTACAAAACGTAATTTATGTCTTTCTTATTAAGGGAAATCGTGATATTCGAAACAAATCGGAGATGTATTTTATACTTGCCGGTTTCTCATTTGGAGAGTGCCTAGGAAATGTGCGAAATATAAATTGTTTCATACATTGCCGGCCAGTTTTAGGCATTCTATACAATGCCTAGGCATTCTATAGAGTGCCGGATTTCAAACTTTGCCAGTAACATGAATGCTAAATACTGTCATTCAAAGATAATGAAATTTCGAGTTGTGTTGAGTTAAATGTTTGTTTTTCCTTTCCTTCTCTCAATTTTTGTAAATATGTATTTGAGTTGACTCCCACATCTTTGATGGTTTTCTTCTTTGGCATCAGGTAAGAAAGTCTTTTGTAAATTCTTCGTAAATTTTGTAATTAAAAAAAATGTTTTGCAAACATATATGGATCCAAAAAAACTTAAAGCTCGTTCAGAAAAATATTTTAATTTGAAATAGTAGTTAGAAATAGTGATAGAACTAGTTTTTGACGCATTCTCGCGGCAAACCCAACCTTCCAGTATTGTTTGTATTATGATGAGTAATCTTCCACTATTATAAAACAGTTTGCAATTGTTTACAATTTTGTCGAAATAGGAGGCGATAAAGATTCTATTGACGAGAATAGTAGCAATTATAAAGAATTAATTAGATAGGACATGAAAATCCTAAAATTATAAATTATGAAAAATAATTTAAGAAGGTACTGGTGAAAATAAAAATAAAAACCATCTTGGCTTACTTTTTTGTTGTAATCCTTCTATGTAATTTTTCCTGCTGAATCGTATTGCTACACTTTTATACTTTTTATGATAAATGGATATACTAAGGAAATGATTTTAGTACAGGTTCTTAAGTATAAATTTAAAGAGTCAGCTTCCAGTGAATTCGGAATAAATGTAAGTAGTGAATATTGATTTATATTTAAAATTTATTTTGTATAAGTGTTATATATAAATTAAATATATTTAATATGCATAATTTCTAATTTAAAGAAGTTGTTAAAATTAGTAATAATAAAACTAAAAAATATTAGAAAATGTTATAAACAGGCTTTAATAATGCTTAAAGGTTAGCTTTATAGTAAGCACTGATCTCTGCTTGGTATCTGGATTGCTTCAAGTCCATTTTGGTGACAAATGGGGTAAGAGGGAGAATAGGATTACCAGAATTCTAGCTCTATCACTCTTCCTAGAGTGATATTAGGTTCTGGATTGCTGATTTAATGCTTGAAGCCCGTTTTGGTGAAGAATGGGGTAAGAAGGAAAGCAGGGTAACTAGAATTCTCTTCCGTGGGCCCGCCTTATTTCTTGGCGATACCAATAAAAGAAAAGTAGCCAAAATTTATTCATTATAATAAATAAATTTGAAGCATAGTTTCGTTTAACAGTGTGAGAGGTGGAAATCTTAATTAAAAGAATTTCCTAAAATTCAGTTATTTTTTTAGTTAAAATGATTCGGTAGTTTTAAAATAATTCTCTGAGAGTGCTGTCATTTTCATGGAGATCATTGCTAAACACAAACCTGGTGAGTTAGTAAATTTGGCAGGCTTCTCTTCTTACAATTAGATTGTACTATATTAGCAATCCTTTAGAAAACAGTGGTCAAAATTTGTTTCATATCATTGTTGCTTTCATGGACTATTATAGAGCTCAGAATAACGAAAGGATGATGGACCATAAACTTGTGTTCCCAATTAACCTTAATTTCGGTTTCCATGCACAAACCAAGGCAAAACATTGACCAAACTATCACCAGAAGGTACAGCTTAAATTTAAGAAAATTATTCTTAATTTTAAATTCAATTTTTTATCGTAATTTAAATTTTTTTTATTTAATATTGTTGTAAACATGTAGCGAAGAGCAAATTCTTCTATAAAAATAAAAGATATGCATGTAGATATGCATGTAGATATTTAACAGCAAAGTCGTGCTAAACATGAATTATTTCAGAACAAAATAGTGAGTAATAGCACGATATTTAGTGGTGTTTATGTGAATGTAATGTTTGTATTAATCATCAAATTGGGGTTGTTTATAGTGACAGTCAAGGGCTGCTGTGAAGAAAAAAAAATGTTTTTGCAAAGGGCAGTATCAATAATTGATCTGCCAAGACCAGAACATGATCTCCAATAAATCTATTGCTGTTTATTGATAGAATGTAATCGACGAGTTAAGTCTTTTGACGCAATTCGAGTAACCCAATTGTGGCGTCACATTATGCCCTGAAAATGAAACACGTTGTTATATTCTAGAGAATGTATTTTTAGAACGACTTTACTCTAACTTTAAATGCTATTATGTGATCTGGTAGATACTCTATCTGTAAATGATGATATCCACACTGTTGTTCTTGCGCCGTTTCGCGTGTCCTCTTTTCAATTGGGTAACTCTTCGCTACTACAATTTTCGAAACTGGTCGTATTAAAATTGTTTACGCACACAATTAAAAGACTTAAAGTTTTGAAAATGTATTTCTTATGCTGAAAATAATAATTGTCTTCCTTAGCCACCCGTAGAACGACCTCGCTCCTGCTCAGTACCTAGAGTGGATAACACACATTTACTATCAAGTTATAATACTGTGAACAGCCTTTTTCGAAGTACTATCTCTGAAGAAGAAGAATCCATTTTTGATTTATTTCTAGAATTATCTAAATATTGTAAAGGAGAATTACTTACCCACGCATCTGGAGAATTAAGAGACTTTCTTAATATACTTACTTCACTAGGAGAACACTATGGAGATAAGGCACGACAACTTTTTTCTGCCTTTGATTTGCAGGTAATTATTTCTATTTTCCCTTCCTCTAACTTATCATTGAGTTAAAACAATATTAAGGCTACAGTGGACACCCAAAATCGTAAATATCCCTCGAAAAATCGATTTTCTAATTTTGAACATTTTATATTAATTAAATGATGCTCTATCACATACAAAAAGAATTTTTCATATTTGAGCAATTACGAGCAAGCTGTAGGCTAGTTTCGTTTTCTTACTTTCATGCCGCACCCCACCCCTTTGTTTACATTTCTACTGTCACCTGAAATCTCAGAATTTTTAGTATTTTTACTCATTATTACTCATAATTCACCATTTCTTACTCATAATTTTTTAATTTCTTTTTATTAGTTTTATAAGTTCTGTGTATATGTTATCAAAATTGATCATTTCAATGAGCAAATTTATGAAAAATAAAATAATTGCATACTTTATGGCATTTTTTTAAAATTCTTTTTATTGTAATAATGTATTCTCAAACAAAAATTTCACATCGAACTGGAAATTTACGTAGTTCTATGCGATATAATTTTGATGACTATCCTATGAAACTTTTTTTGACGCACTCTGTAGATCAATAAAAGAAAAAAACTTGTAGAGAGAAAATTTCAAAATTGGGTGTCACAACTTATTTTATAGTCCTTTCAATGATCCAAAATGTTAATTGGGGGACGATTTCGTGTTTTTTTCTTCCTTTTTTGCCGAAATTTTCTTTTTTTACTCTGTAAGGAAAAATGCGTAAATTTTTTCCCTACAATTTGAAGAGAAACGTAAATCGAGTTGAAATTAGCAAATTATCTTTGAATTTAAGGAAAAATTTAGCTTAAGGACCTTATTTAAACTTGGAAATAAATTATATATGTTCTTTTAAAAAAATTTAAATTTTTCATGTTATACTATGAAAATATGAACGGTACAGTTATGTGTCAAACTATTTTTTTATGATCTCTAATGAAATAGAAACAATCCCTGCTAGTTACAGCAATGTACATTACACTCTGGCCGTAAATGGAGAATTTGTTAGAAAATTTAATTATAAAATAAATGATCTTTCTTTTGTTATTATTTTCAAGCAACATACTAAAAACGCTACCACTAATTTCAGATAAAAGAAACGGAATTTTTTTAACTTATGAATTTAAAAAGTACACGGAGCCTCTAAAATGTAACTCTACAGCATGCGCTCATGCACTTCGTTTGAAACACATATTTTAAATGTAATATCTATATGTTTCACTTATTTTTTACCTTTTCATAATACAATTTATTTTGTGCGTTTCTGATACATTGATGTTTTGTTTCATTATCGGCACTAGCTAGAGATGGATAACGCTGAAGCTAATTGGTATAAATAAATGTTACGAACTTAGAGCAGATAACAAATTATTCCAACTTTGTTGAATATGATGAAAAGGCTCATATGTTGTAATAATGACATAACGTGATATATTACCTCCTCTCTGTTTTATTCTTTTTTAACTACACAACTTTAATTTCACTAAGAGATGTATAGTTCACTCCTGCTTTTTTTAAATTTAATTTTTTTTAAAAATTAATTTTGTTCTAGGATTACTGAGTGGGACATTCTATACAAAACGTGATTCTAAATAATCAGAAAAGAAAAAAAGAACATGATGTTTTTCATTTTTACAATACATACTTCCCCAGTGTTCAAGAAAGGCGATAATGATTTTATTAAACGATAGTTATAATTTGATTTGGTATTACAATGATTCCGTTCTTTCAGGTTTGATTTCAAAAAGCGGCTCATTTTATAAACCAGTGAGTCTTTTAAATAAATAAAGAAATAAAAATACCTCAAACGATCATCTTTGAACTGGCAATTTCTTGAACGAAAAAGTTAGTTTAGTAAAAAAAGTTAGCATAGTTTTTTTTTAAAGCTTTTTTTGCGTTATTAAAATCTTCTAATGTCTGATATATATATTTTCTTTGATGTCTGCTATCTTTTGTGCAACATAAGTTTTTTTATGCAACATACAAGTTTTTTTTCCGAATAACTTAGCGGTTATTCCAGTTTCCTCAAAATAAATAGCATATGCGAATTCAGTCTTTCAAAATCTATAAAAATATGGTTTTGTTTGATAAAAAGATTTTATGTTACAAAAGGTTGCATTTTCCCGCAAGACCTTGAGTATTTTCTAAATGCACTGTATAAACTTTTAATATATCTCAACGCTAAAAATGGTGGCAACTACTTTACATAAAAATGGTTCTCCGTTACACCAAGATTCCAAAAGCCAAAGAGAGTTCTTGGTGGGTGTTTAAAAACACCAAGAGTATTCTTTTGCACTTCTTGTTATATAGTACCTGTTTAGTGTTCGTGATGTATCGATCTATTAATCAGAGGACTGTAACACACATAATAATTTATTTACAAAATTAATGATATAAAAATTGACAAGATCATTGTAAAGTGACAAGGAGATGCGCCCTGCTCCAGAGCTGAATGGCAACAGAATTCTGACAATTGAATTCTGAATAGCAACTGATATTGACTTGAGCGCCGCCTTATGGCTTAATTCTTAACAGTACCATTTTTGTTATTCAGTTCCATTAAAATGTATAATTGCAGTTAGAAATGATACAAAGAGTCAGTAAAGTTAATTTTGCGATACAATGTAAAGTAAGAATCATTCCGTTGGGATGCATGTATGCAATATTTCTTAAAATAAAATTAGTTTGACACACAGGACTGAGAGAACATTAATTTGAATTCAGTCAAGGCTTAACGGAAATTACTTAAAGTTAAATATTATAAAAATATTTGATATAATTGAGAGATTTAGGTAATACTAATGAGAACATAAATATCTTATACAACTAAACAACAGATACAACTATACAACTATGTAACATTCTACAACTAAAAACATGCATGTATTTTGTAACAGTTTGTATGAGTAGTTTGTCAAATCAGTTGAACAAGAAGAATGAAATTACTTGACCAATAATTGAACACAATCGATATTCTTGATTAATCAGTAAAGAGGGTTAAAAATTACTAGGAATTAAATAGTCTATGACCAGTCTGTCAATTCAATCAGACAAGAAGAACTCATATTTCACCACTGCAAACGCCATCCTGGCCGCCATATTGTCATTGTCTTGAAATCGCACAATTATTCGCCTTTAAACTTTTAATAAGGTTCGCAATCATTTGTAAGGAGTTTAAGACATGCCCTACCATCATTTCTCTCTTTAGTTAAAAAGTTTAAGTATACAATAATTATTCACCAAATTTACGGACCCCCGAAAAACACAGTCTATTTCACCACCGAATTATTAGCGATGAAGGGAGTAAAAAAAACATCTGAGATTGGTTATGCGTTATCAATTATTGGTGTTATTTACTCCCTTAAAATGGGTGTATGAGAGTTTGTTTCGGTATTAACTTGGAATAAAATTATCATACATACAATTGTTAGAGTTTTTCAACACTAGATTCAGATAAGCATCGTTTTTACGGGATAGAAAAAAAATTCAAAGCAATATTCAAAGCAATAATTCAAATGTTAAGAAAATAACAAGTATATTTCTATCATTTCGTATACTTTTACAAATATATTAAAAACAGTACAGTAACCATAGATTCAGTAGAGCAACTAAAAAACACCGTGTACTTTCATGAAATTATTTCTGTTTTCTGGTGGACAAACTCTGAATTACACTTTACAAGTCAAGAAGCCTACCATACTGGTGTCTTGTTGATTAATTAACGGCGCCTCTGTAGATAAGTTTGTTTACAATGTAAACTCTCTAACGTTCTTTTATTTTTAAGCTATCTTTATTTATAGGACAGTATAGTTATAAAAATTATTTTTACTCCAGCTTATTATACGTTTACTCATACCGTTCAAACAATAATGATTTAGCCAGACAAGTAGGGCTGCTCTATTTAGTTTCTATAACCTCTGCTTACAGTGTAAAACCGGGTACTACGTGTTCCGGAATTTTTCCCCCTTGATGTGTATCTATGCTGGCCCCATGAAAGCTGCAGTACTGCGGAGGAAGAAGATAGCTGCATAAGAATGTGATCAAAGGTTTTTCGGGCCTCAAGCCAAAGTTTATTACGCGTCCCATCCTCAAAGTACAAAAAGCCTCATTTCGTATTTTGTAATGTTTTAAAAGACCCTTAATTCCAAATTGTAGTTCTGATATACTTTATTTTATAACTATAGTTGAAGAGCCGACAGAATTCTCAGTTTACGGTTACCAATGTTCAACTTCGTAGCCATGCAATTTTGAACCCAATCCAGGGGACAAGGAAACTCCTGGATCAAGTATTGGGAGAAATTTGTTTTCGTATATGAATGTTTGATAGAATTAACCATCATTTGTGTTTCATGGAGAAGAAAACCATGAAGACCTCCCACGGTTAGCCTGACGGCAAAGGGACTCTAACCCATGATCAGTCTACCACTGAGGATATTTTACGTCAGCACTGTGGTCGGTGCGAGCCGGGTGCGAATTCGAATAAACCAGCCTTCGCCGGGATTCGAATCCGGGTCACCTCATTGGGAGGCGAGCGCTCTATCCCCTGAGCCATCATGCTTCTAGTTTTGATATAGATAAAAAGAAGTTATTTTCTTTTGAAAAAACACTAATTTTTTATAGAGAATTTTGGTCAGCCTTTTTTCTCTTCCACGTGAGTCAGCCTTGACTACAACACGTGTAAATTATACATATAATTTTCTTAAATATAAATTTGAAATTTCTGCTAAAATTTTACGGAAATTCTAGTATTTCTAAATTTCCTATAGAGTCATTAAGTATTCCCGGTTTGTTTCACTTTTTCTGAAAAAAAATTCTATTTTAAGAAGGTCTTTTCGAAACTGATATTTTACACACAACTAAACAACAAATATCGTAGGTTAAATGAAATAGGTCTGCTTTAACAGGCCTTCTAAACCCTGTATTACTCAACCTTTCCCTATGCGTACTAACTCGATACAATAGAAAACATAATACGAATTCTATGATACCGTGAAAGGAGAATCCTGTAATCACGATCCTGAACAGGCTAAGACACCAATCTTTTAACATCTCATTTATTATCCATAAAACTATGGGGACATTCAAATTTGGATTCCTTTGTCAACAAAAATAAGCAAATCATTCTCCCATAAGAAAGTCCCCTGTTTTCTGTTCATTTTGGGATTCAAATGGGATGTAACATTGCATTAATTGAATTTTGAAAAGGATATTATTTATAAGACTTTCGTGTTTTTTCTTCAGTGGTAAATTTTCTTGTCCTCTACACTCTTAAAAATTCCTAATCACATTGCACCAAAAATTAGTATCCATTTGTTGGCTATATAAAATGAAGCTTAATTTTATCATATTTTGGTATTTTTACTAGCTTCAATATCAGTAGAATATTGCACCAAAAGTAGGTGTTCTGAAAAAACGAAACACCTATTTTCATTCTTTCTTTTTTTTCTTTTATAAAAGAAAAGGAAGGCTGCACCATTATTAAGTATTTTTAAAGCGCAGGCCGAGGTAGCTATTTACCGTAACAAAACTATTTACCGTAAGAAGTTATTTCATGACATACCTCTAACCATTTTATACCGCCAATCAAATTTTAAAAGGCAACATAAAAGAAATGATATTTAAATAATGCAAATCAGTCATTTACCTACCTAAAAAAGTAGAAACTTGATACAACCCGATAAAGCGAGACCGAGTTGTAAAGAAAACATGGCGTCATAAAAAAATATCGTTCAGTTTACAGTCACTGTCAAAGTTTTGTGTCTTTTGCTAAATTTTGATGCAGTCAGTTGCACCATGGAAGTATTTCTCGATCATACAGCAAAATGTATGGTGTAACTGAAATAAAATTATCTTTCATTTAACTAAACTTCGGAACAATGAGAAACACTGCACCAAATACTGGTTAGAGATTTACCAAGTTTTTTTTACAGTGTACTGATTTTACTTTGAAATCAAAATTAAAAATTTTCCAATTGTAATTTCTTTCCACTTTTTCTGTATTTAAGAACATGAAAGATTAGGGAGTTTTAATATACTTAAATATTGCTTAAATCTCTCGTCAGCAGAAATTAACAAATCACAAAACCCTTAAGTGCTTTCAAAATATTATCCTACTAATATAAAGTTATGAGTAGATATAAAGTTGAAGTATAAATCAGTTAGAAATGAGTACAGGCTTATTGTTAATAAAACGATAAGCATTATTTTTCGTTTATGAAAATTTTATAATAATCTTAAGAATTCTGGAAAATAAAATTACTAATATTTTTTGTATCTGTTCTATAAAGGTGATTATAGATTCGACAATAACATAAATTATACACGCTGATTTACTGATTTTTTTTTCATTTTTATTTAGAATATTTGTTTTTCTATATTATGCCTTACACCTTTTTCATAATTTCCAACCTATAAGAGGTGTTTTGATGCAATTATGCATTTCACTCAATAGTTAACAGAACCATTTTTAACTTCATTTTCTTCATCGGCTTTAATTTTTTCCTTGTTGGTTTTACGTTACTTGATTATTACACCCTCTTTTAACAAAAGTTATGACATTTAAAAGTGTAAATATATTACTTTTGGATAAAGGATTCATTTTAGCTAAAAATTTGTGTTACATTTATAAGTGCCCAATAATATTGTGTTTAAAGCATCAAAAAGTAGGGAAAAAATGTGCTATTTGAACCTCCAAACGTTTTGAATTAAAAATCAATCAACCATTTGCAATTTTTAAAAATACATTTATTCAATGCGAAAATACAATATTCAATGCGAAAATACAATATTCAATGCGATTTACATGCCATATTGTGAAGAGAGTTTTTCTTTTAAGCTTCGGGATCAATTAATTTATGGGGAGAAAATTACGTTTTAAATTTACCGAACATATTTTTTATGATTTTCAGACACCTAAATGACAAATAATTTGACGGAAAAGAACAGAAATCGAATTTTAGCAATTATATGACATCTTTTGCGAAACAATCAAAAGACGAAAATCAAAACATTTCGTTGCGTAGTTTTTTATTTAATGTTTTTATCGTTATTTTATTATCTAAAAAAATTATAATTCTTATATTTTATCTATAGTTCAATATTGCTGGCATAAGCAGGTTAAAGCTGTAAAAAAAAGTAATAATCTTACCATTTTATTTAAAGTATGTAAATTAATAAAGTAAATTCCATTTGGAAGGAAAATGAAAAAGAAGATATAGAAGCAGACGAGATTTGTGAAGAATATGAAAGAGTGAGTATAAATTCTTTTTCTTTATAAATATGAAAACAAAATGGTATTTATGATGAAGCACACTTATTTTAACGGATACATTTACAGTTAAGCGAAACAATATTCTGTTAAGAGATTGATGAACGCGCATTGCACTCGATGTTACAAAAGGCTCTTTCTTTTACTCGGGTTAAGACGAAAACGGAGTTTTGATTGGCCGACGTATTACTAAAGTGATGTTTTTTTTTTTTAACTGATAATATAAGTGGTTGTCTACATGACGCCTAAAAACATAGTTTGTTTTCGCTGAGGATTAAATAAGTCACCATTCTATGGTAAAATATTCTCTTAATATTTATTTTATACATGAGAGACATCATCTAAATAATATTTTTTAGTTGCAGAGATTAGTGGTGAGCGGGGATTTACCATGTTCCAAAGAAGAAGCAACACTATTAGCCGGTATTCAATTAAGAATCGAAGAAACATCCGACCAACGGACCGAAGTAAGCATTTTTATCTTAACACACAATATTCATATTATAATAATTTTCATATAAGTCGAGTCTTTAATTCCTTAATATGTTAAGATCCAGCACTTAATATAAATTTGGTACGTCACTCTCTATATATATATTTATAAATTCATANTAATTAATTGATACACGAACATAAACAAGTACAAACCTGCTTCAGTCGCTGAAAATTAATAAAGCTGTATAGTATTACCTGATAACAAGATGATTATATATATATATATATATATATATATAATCATCTTGTTATCAGGTAATACTATACAGCTTTATTAATTTTCAGCGACTGAAGCAGGTTTGTACTTGTTTATGTTCGTGTATCAATTAATTAACATTGTAATGTAATACGTTAAAAATAAATACAAATAGAAAGTATATAAAAGATCTCCCGAATTAAACCTATTACATGTATGTTTAAATATATAAGCATTGCAAATAAACTCGTGCAAAGCATGTCTTTATTAAAACACCACAGTGCGTCCAGTAATTTGGTCTAATTATTATAATATACTAATATAATACCTGATATAATAAATATTTTATTTTTATATAATATATCGTCTAATTTATCCAATCGTCGAATTTAGATTATATATCACCTAATTCAGCCAATTGATACACGAACGTAAACAAGGGCAAACCAACGCAAACAAGGGCTATAAAAATATTCAACAATGTGCAGAAAATGCTAAGAATTAAAGTTTATTATTGGTTAAGAAATAATTAAAATAGCTTAAAAAGTTAATTGAGTGATTTTCAAATGTTGATACAAATCGCTTTAAAAATTAAATTTATCATTGTTGGTGATTAAAGATGATTCTTGTATATGTCCTGCACATCTTCGAATAGTAAGAGTGAAAATTGAATTTAAATTTAGACCTGTAACTATGTTATAAGGTATTAAACTAAAAAACAAATTAACAGGTAACAAACCGTATAAGTTTCACATAATTGAATAATTTTAACTACAACATGTAAATTTCTTAAGCTTATGTTATCATTACTCAAACGTGGTTTACATGCATGAAGTAGTCAATAAAGTTTCACCAATTAACTTTCAAATGTTGAGACCTTTTGAAATCTTCAAAAGTAATTTTTCATTTAATGATTGTTTATTCCTTTATAAAAGTAATATTTAAAAGTGGTGGTTTCATGAATGATTCTCTTTGAGTAACACAAAATAATGTGCCAGAAAGTTTTAAAATTAAATATAATCTGGACGTATTATAAAATGCATTTTTTTCAAAAACATAAGTGTTTTCAAATTATTTTACTGTTTGGAAATTGATTAAACATATAAAGAATCCTATTTTCCTTGATTACTTTATATGAAAATTTTAATTAGAAAATAAAACGTTCGAAAATTTTTTATAATATTATAACTCTTAATCGTGCGTATGTATTTTTTGGAAAAAACTTAAGCCAACAGTTTATTAAATTCTACAATAAAAAAAAAGTATTCTTCTGTTGGATATCAAAATTTGAAATCTTCCCAAATAAATTTACTTGGTTAATTTTTTTTAGTTTTATTATAGTTTATAAACTTCTTCTAAGTTTCATTAAGAAATTTTTCTGCCATTATTTGGAGAAACAATGACCTGTTATACGCTGTCGTACAGGAAATGCCCCCTTTCCTCTTTCAACGGATAGATTAACAGGTGTTGAACAGTTGACCCAATTTTCAATTTACAACTATTAGTATTTCGTATCCTTGTAATTTTTAACCCAATACAGAAGACAAAGAAACTCTTGCATCAAGTATTGTGAGAAAGTTTGCCTTCGTGGAGGACTTTTTGATGGAACTCATTTACGTTACATGGAGAGGGAAACGATCAAAGCCTCTTACGGTTAGCCTGACGGCAAGGGGACTCTAACCCATGAACAGTCTACCACTAAGGATATTTTTACGTCAGCACTGTGATTGGTGCTTGCAGGGTGCGAACCCGGTTCACCTCATTGGAAGGCGAGCACTCTATCCCTTGAGCCACCTCGGCTCAACAGAGACTAAAGTACACACCGGGAATAATTATATTATTTATTGGCCAAATATTGTCAGAGAAATATCGTAGAATAACAACATTGATGTACAGTGCAACATAAAAAAGGTATCACCATGAATAACTTTTGATCTAATGATCAGAGTATTACGCTTCGAGGGGGTGGTCTCATATATGCTAATTAATTAGTGGCAGAGGTTATTTGAATTATGAAATCAGACTCAAAAACGTACTTTCTCTGAATAAACCTCCAAAGTATGGGCCGCTATCTGAGAAATAGGGTCCCCATAGTTTGGTATGGATCCCCTTAATGTTAATGAGAACATTTTAAGCGGACTTTTGCACGCATTTATAAAATTCGTTTATCCAGTGATAATGTCATGCAAAAAAATTTTTTTACTTCATATTAATTATTTTTTACTATTTCCTTTAACAATAGTAGAAAAATTTTGAATTGTAAGGTATACAATTCTTTACGTATTTTAAAGTATGCAGTTTTTTCATAGCAAAATACAAAATTGCCACCATATATTTTGAACTTGCCCAGATTGGAGATTTTATAATTATTAAGTTTGGAAAGTACATATGACCAAACAAAATCCCCTTAATACATAATTTCATAATCCTTGTCAAAAATAGAGTAAAAAAATGTAAAATCGAGAGTCATAAATAAATATCCAAGAGAGGAATCATTACTGAATAACTCAAAACCTGTTTAATCATGGAAAAACAACAACAGAGGAGAGGCAAGAAACACTTTTCTAAGGTAATCAAACAGGGATTGAAAACTGAAACTACTCTGTCTAATTTGTATGATATGAATTAAAAACAATAATAGAATCGTTGTCGGTCAGCATGAAACAGTTTAAAATCAAAACTTATTTTTTTGTTATTCGCTGCTTCTATTTAGACTTTCCTTAATTATTAGTGGGGTCTTATTCTATTTTAGAAATTGAGATTAGTAAAAATTTAAAAAGGAAAAACTGAATTTATATAAGTTTGTTTTTAAAAACATGAAATATATAATAAAATTGCTTTTGACATAATTTAGTGAAATACAATTCAAATTAATATGAGCAGAATTTACGTGTTAATTATGGGGGAACTAATGTAGACACGGGGTTAATGTCTACAGTTGGAACGCGATGGCTCAGGGGATAGAACGTTCGCCTTCCAATGAGGAGAACCGGATTATAATCCCAGTGATGGCTGATCGATACGAATTCCGCATCCGGCTTGCACCGACCACAGTACTGACGTGAAATATCCTCAGTGATAAACGGCTTATGGGTTAGAGTCCCTTTGCCGTGAGGCTAACAGTGGAAAGTTCTCGTGGTCTTCCTCTCCATGTAACGCAAATGCAGGTCATTTCCATCAAAAAGTTCTCCACGAAGGCAAATTTCTCCCAATACTTGATCCAAAAGTTCCCTTGTCTTCTGGATAGGGTTCAAAATTACAAGGCTGAGTTGAAGAATAGTAGTCGAAAACCCTAAAATTGGGTCTGTTGTTCAACGACGGTAATAAAATAAAATATTTCTCAGTAAATGTTTGCAGATTGCCAAAACTGTGTTCGTATGCAGTTGCATGTTTACACACTTGATCAATAAACGATCAATAAAATTTAAAAAGTTTTATGGGTATAGTGTCTATAGTTATGGGTATAGTTTTTATGGGATGAAGATAAATTCAAATTAAACGTTCTGATTACCACAAATGTTAGACTTCTAATTTTTCATAAAACGTTTTTAATAATACAAAGTGGCCAAGATAAGAAGAGGCCCGGTGTGAAATATAGAAAGCTCGACATCACATACAGTATGACTCGTGGTCACTTTTATCTTGGCCACTCAGTTATTCATGAATTACATATCTTAATAGTCACTTTTCAGTTGCAGTTTTTTTAAATAACTGATAATCAGATCAGACAGACAAATGATTCCGCGACTTTAGTGTGAACATGATAATTTTGTGGACAATTCTGTGATAATAATGTGGGTTAATTGCTAAAACTCATTTTTTACTTAATTATATTTATTTACTTAACTTGATTATTTTTGTAAAGTATTTAATCTATTTTACAAAATCTTACATATTTCCGCTTTACTTTTTCAATGCATAGTTTATGTATTTTTTTTTACATATTATACTTTTTTGTGCTTATTTTAGCTTTGCTTTACTATTTTAGCTCTACTTTTTTGAATTCCATCAATTTTTGTACAGCGGAAAATTTAGTATTTTATGGAATTTTGTCCGCACTTCTAAAATTCTATTAATGCAACTAACATTAAATAAGGATTTGTCATTAAATATTGGTTTGGTTTTTGTTTCATTATGTTGACAAGCTACTTTATAAAATATAAACTAAATTTATTCTCAATTCCAAGTAATAAAATGATGCTGTACTAAATAAATATTAAAAATGCACTTTAAACGAAGTAGAATCTTTGAAACAATTTTTCTTAATAAAAGAAATTAGATTCATTTGTTAAATTAAAATTTGTTAGGCTTTGGCATTAATTGAAATAAACATTGTTAAGATTTTTTTTTATTCAATTTAAGATTAAAATTAGAGTCATTTTAATGTTTTGGAAGAAGTTAATTAAAATCTAACTTAAGGTGAGAAAGTTTAAAATGACTCGTTAATTAAGAAAGAAAAAAAATAATAAAATAATAAATTTTTAGATTGAGACCCTAGAAGATAAGACATGGCTGTATTCTGAAGGCTTATTTATTTTTAAAGAATACTAGCTAAAATAAAAATTCATTTAATTGGATTTTATATATTAGTTTTTAATAGTCCACAAAAATTTCATCTAAAAAGCTGACATATAATTAATTAGTTGTCATGGAGCTATAAAATGTCCTCCATTTTAAGATGCCTTATATTTTGTATGGAACGGTTAATTTTGTTTTGTGGGCTATTAAACAATCATTTTGTATTATTAACAATGACATCGGCATTATCGGGGATCAACAACATAAAAATACGTTTTTTTTCACATGTTTCCTTTTACCATCACATTTTAATGTACGGAAGATTATTTTCAAATCGAACTTTTTTCATTAGATACCAAATATGATTCATTATAAAATTTTGAAAACAAAAATTAAATTTTTTCCGGGCATGCACAGTATGAAAAAACTACTTTAAATACTCATATCTTGAGCTCTTTTTAACGAATTTCTTCATGTTTCATAATGATATTAATTAAAAATTGCTTAAAAAAAGTTTTGTTTAACATTATTGAATATTTTTAAAGCTTCAGGGAAATGAAAAAACAAAATTTAGTTGTTTTTTTTATTAAAAAAAGAAAAAAAAACGTCTGAAATTCTATAAATTTAACCAGTCTTGTGAAATTTTATGCAATTATTGCATGCAATAACCAAAGTAATAGTTACAAGATAAGTTTATAGCTGTACTTTCTGACATAGGGCGCCAAATCCACATGAGGGTAATTACTTTGTTTTTCCGTGCAGATTTGTATTTTGAAATCATAGAGATAGAATTATTTAGGAAATTATTCTAGGAAAATAAAGGAAATACCGATGGACCTAAACGAAATGTATCAGTATAGAAAGATTCAGAACTTGACATTTGCGATGCGCCTATATCGTTCTGTTAAAAATATGAATAAATATGATATCGTTCTGTTAAAAATATGAATAAAACCAGACACACAAATTAATGAAATATTTTTGATTTATACCCAAAACGCACACGAGGGCAATTATTTTGTTTTTCCATGCAGATTAATACACTGGTGTAAGAAAGAGAATTTGCAGACTTGGTGGATTATCTCTAGAACTAATGAAATTTGATATGTATATACATTGATACAATACAAAACAAATAACCTTTTAACAATTGTAATACACACGCATGATCTAACACTCGTTGGAGTCGGAAGGTATGAAACAGCGGTTGCAGAATAAGTAAAAATGAGTTAATAGGGCCATGGTCCCTCTTACAGATATACAGGCCTTGAAGCGTGATTTCATACTTGAAATAAGTTTATCATGTCCTGTGGCAATTTTTCCCACTCGGTCAGCAACGCTGTTTTCATTCCCTGGATGCTTCTCGGAGGGGGGTAACGAGCTGCAATTCCCCTTCCCAATGCGTTCCATACGAGCTCAATAGGGTTGAAGTCTGGAGATCTGGCTGGCCAATCCATCCGGTGAATATCTTCACACTCTAGAAATTCGTCAACCAGAAGAGCTCTATGTGGTCTCGCGTTATTGTCCATTAAAATGAACTCACGTCCAACTGCACCCTTGAAAAAGAGAACATAGGGCTCCAAGACCTCCCCCATGCCTCACACCAGTCACAGAGTCTCTTTTTAAGACATGGAGAGGTGTGCGGCCATCCAACATGATGACTGCCCAGACCATTAAACCTGCTCCGCCATAATGGTTGATTTCGCGGACATTGGAGGATAGGTAGCGGGTAGTTGGTTCTCTCCATATGAACGGACGGTGAGAATCGGTGTTTAGGCAGAACCGGGACTCATCAATGACGAAAACGGTTTCCCATTGATTCATGCTCCAATCTCTATGCTCTCTGCACCACGCTGAACGGACTCTTCCGTTCGTAGAAGTGAGCGCGAAGCCAAAAGCAGGTCTTCTTACAAACAACGTTCTCTCAAGAAGTCGTTTGGAAACAGTCACATTTGATTCACGGGTTCCTGTGGCAGTCACGAGTAGGTCACGGAAGTCACGAGTAAGCTGAGAAGCTGTAGCCGCTGGATTATGCCTCTCTATAATGGACAAATGGCGATCTTCTCTGGTCCCCGTGGCTCTTGGACGACCTTGCCCAGGATTTCTCACGATGGATCCGGTATCCTGGAAATGTTTTCATAAGTTTTACACACGGCATTAAGTTGAACTCTCTACAAATCTGGACCTGAGATTGGCCTGCTTCTCGTCTCCCTATAATTCGCCACCTCATTCCATCATCTAGATGTTGGTGGTTACTCATTTTTATTATTACAATTTTAATTTAACATATTGCTGAAAAATAAAACTAGAAATTCGTCGAGGTAACTTACGCGCACTTATAAAGCCTGTTTCTTTACTAGCTCCACCTACACACACGCGTAAGCTTACGTTTTTGATGTACAAGATTTGCATTTTTGTCTAGAAACAGTGGTTTTTCATTCAGTTAAGTTCTTTTTGTGATATTCAATAAAATATGCAAATTCTTTTAATTTATTTCCCCAGTGTATTTGGAAAGCAAAACGATAGACTTATTTCTGATTCTAGGGAAATGAAGGGAATACCGATGGACCAAAACCAAAAGGATCAGTATGGAAAGATTCGGACCTTGATATTTGCGTTGCGCCTATGTATCGCTCTGTTAAAAATATGAATAAAGCCATAAAGGTATGTTGATTTCATAGTTTTCTTCTTAACTTTAAAGAATGCACATTTTGAATGATTTTTATTTTTTAATTTTAGGATCAAAGAAGAAAGTTATTTCATTCTCATGTTTATGAGAATGAGTTTCATTTAAAGAAATTGTACATACAAAATTGTAAGAGGTTACCTGCTTATGGATGCCGAGTGTATCAAGTAAAAGAAAAATCCAAGAAAAAGGTAGACAAACAAGGTTTGAAAGATGATTAAATTTGATTTCCAAATTATGAGCTATCTTATTGATTTATACCAGGACAATTGTTAAATATATAAAAATTTCGAGAAAATGTCTTTTTTAAATAGCCTCCAGAAGAGAGCTCCAATATTTAGGAGAAATTTTTAGAAGCACTTTGCTTTGAACCTTTAAGAGAAGCAGTGATCGAGCAAACATCTCCACCAAATGCCCAAAATGTCAAACAAGGAAACACGAAAAAAGCAAAAAAAAAAAAAAAACATATAAAAAGATTAAAATGTTTTCAAAATATTTGCGTGAGGCTGTTATTTAGAAAGCTCTTTTCGACGATACAACCTCATGTTGTAGTCATGTTGCACTAAAGACGATACTATCAATGATTTACTTCTAGAGTTGAAAGTAAAATTAGAAAAAAAAAGTTCTTTTAGAAGAAACAAACAAACTTCTTCTCATCTTTTAAAGCTAAACTAATTTTTGTGTTATAAATTAAATGCAAACTTAAACAAAAAGCATACCGTAAACCGGGGCGAGTCTACCCATCCTGGGGCGAGTCTACCCATTTTAGNAAATCTCATAATGATCGGTATTAAACTATGAAATTGTATATAAGTATCTTGATGTTTATAAAATGGATATGAAATAACGCCAACAAAATGACTAAAATGAAGAGCTTTCTCGAAAATTCCTTCGATAAGAGTTTATGGAGGTAACCTCTAAGAACGACAAACCTCCTTTACTGTGGGACGGAGAGTTGACGCTCCAGAGACCTTTCATTCTATAGTATTCCTTTGTAAAAATGAAAAACATGCATCTTAGATGTCCAATGAAAAGCGAGATTGATCAAAGCAAAGGCAGCATTAAAATATTCAATTTATTTTACAATGCAGGAAGATATCCCACTAGATAAACAAACTTTTTTTTGCTTAAGTCGAAATTTTATGCAGCTTCACTTAAATATTAATTTGTAACCACTAATGAGAGATTACTTTATATTTTAAAAAACATTCCAAAAAATCGTATTGAACAGAGAGCGGTTCAATACGAATTCAATTCGTAATTACTGAGCGCTTTGCGTTAAAAAAAAACGGACGGAAAAGTTAGTATATAAAATATTGTAATTAGATAAATTAGAAGAAATAATATGGAATATAAATACTCTTAATGCTTCACAACGCATACGTGAACATTTCCCAACAAATTGCAGTGTCGCTATACTCCGTTTCATTTTAAGTTGGCACTGGACAGAAACATAGAGGACAGAAAGGCAATGTGGACAGAAAGGCAAGTAGATAGGAGTGCAGCCGTTGTCATGGAAACTGGGTTACTCTTTAAGTTAGTTGGGGGCATAAGGTAGCAAAAATGGAGAGAAAGTGGCCAACATTGGCGTTAAAGAAAACCAAGTGCCGATTTTTTTTAAAGAAAAAAGAATCTTACTAAAATTTTGAACACAATACAGAAGAGAACAAGATTTTTTTAGAGCATTTCTAATAATAATTGATTTGAGATATTAATTGTAAGCTGATTTCTTATTATGATCTTTAAAAAACAGATATTCTTATTAATAATTCTAAACCAAACGAAACAAGTTTTAAACGAAACAAAATTATATTTGAAAAGGTAATTTTTTTTATTAAATCTAAATTTAAAAAAATACACAGACGCTCATAAATATTTTACTTTGGATACTTATTTTTTTATTCAATTTTTTTATTATAGATTTCTGTATATTAATTTATCCCACATTGGTATTTCGTGGGGAAAGGAAAAGTCAACATAGACATGAAATCATTGATCATGAAAAAAGAAATACGTATGTTTTATAATATTTACCGTTCACACTCTTTTCTGAAATGTTTTTTTTATTATGAAAGTAATTTTTTTTCTGAAATATATTCGCTTCAATGAAACAAAAGAACTTACCCAAAAAGCCTCTCTATTAGAAATCTCTCTATAAAAACCTCTCTTTAAGAGAAGATTGCCTTTTTCTTTTCTCGAAAGAAAATCGCAAATCTTTTAGAATCAGATATAAAGCGTAATTGATAGCTACAAGAACGAACTAACAAGGGATAACTAACAAAAAAAAAGCAAAAAATAGCAATCAATAAGTATTAAAAAAACAAGCCAGCAATAAATAACTAGAAAAACCAAATAACAGTTCATAACTAATAAAAAAAACAAGACAAAAAAACAAAAAAAAAACAATTGAGCGATGCAAGCTGGCTGACCAGTGTGGAAACATAGCCAACGCGCCAATTCCTCGTACTCGGAAACTAATTCATCGCCAAACTAAAACATCTTCTTCTTTGTACATTCGCTTTCCTGACAAAGTATTTATAAGTTAAATACATGTAAACATGATGAAACTTCTAATACATGTTTCAAGATAAACTTTTCTTATTATACAATATTTATTTATATTTGTACGCACATTTAAACTGTAATAAATTCCGAAATAGCGAGGAACTACTTTTCAAATGCGTAGTATTACATTTCCTACCTTTCCCCGTCGAGTCAATTGGCGCCTGTTCTGTTTTTTTTTACTTCCTATGCTGATAAACTAAAAAAGCTGAAATTATATACAATTTCGCTCTAGAAAATAAAACGCTCTCTTTTATATCTCAAGAAAACGCTTTAAACTCAACATTTTATCACGATCAGGGTGAAAATGTTAATCTAAAGAAAAATCTTTTTTACATGTCAGATCTTTTCCAATTATAATTATATATTTTATAGAAGTTTTTTTCGTTAGAAATATTATATTTTGCAGATTAATCTCTTACGGTTCCATGCTAATTATTCTAATGGCATCAGCCTTTTACTTTGTATTTCGAATGCTTAGTGTATCAAATCTCATAATGATCGGTATTAAACTATGAAATTGTATATAAGTATCTTGATGTTTATAAAATGGATATGAAATAATACTTAATGTTTTTAAACCTTTAAAGCGTTAACAATTTTAAAATTTTTATATTAAGTATGGCGATTAATAAAAGGAACTAATTTTAAAAATTAACCAATTTTAATAATATAAATCTTCTATTGTTATAAAAAATCATTAATTGATTTCTTAATAATCTTACTTTCGCAGATCATTTAACTAAAAATTGAATGCTGTTAATTGAAAAAAATGTAAGTCAGAAGGTGATCAACTCAAATTTCTCCAAAAATCCCCCTTTTTTGCATATCTTAAGATATAACAAGATGCATAATTAGAATATATAATGAGATGCATATTAAGATGAATAAACTAATGCTTCCAAGGGAATATTCAAAACTGAATAACTTTTGGAAAAATTGCGCAGCACAGAGTTTCGTAGACAGAAACAATATAGAGTTGTGTAGTCCATTATAGAATTGCACACTTTAATGCAGAGTTGTGTGGACCAATATAGAGTTGTGAGGACAAATACAGAATTGCGTATATCAATATTGAGTTTGGAAATTAGATAAAGAGTTGTGTAGGCGATGGAAATTTGTTTCAACCAATATAGAGTTGCGTAGACGTAACTTTATAGACTTAATAATACTTTAATGTGACTTTTGCGTAATTCTATAGACTAATTCAAAATTCTGTAAGCCATTACAAAGTTGTGTAGATTATTACAGATTTGCGTAGATGTTTACGGAATTTTTAGAGTATTTAAATGCGTTACCTTAGAAGCCAAATTTTTTAACCTCGTTCCAATGAAATGTCAGAAACTTTTCTTATTATTTCTATTTTGTTTTTATGAGTTTATAAGTAATGTCATTTTCAAGAATGTGGAGTAAGGTGTTTTGATATCGTTGTTTTGAAATGTTTATAATCTTCAAATAATTCTTGTTTTTCTATCTACATTAAAATAAATAAATAAAAGGAAAAAAGTTAACTTTTGAAAAGTGTTTCCCTCTACATCATAGAAAATCCAAAAGCTTTTTTTTCCCCACAAATGATTAGGTATATTTTGTAATATGTAACCAAGGCACAAAAAAACTCTTTCTTTTCTATAATCATTTGGTGTTTAGACATTAAAAAAGAGCCCATCTTCAATGAGTTCTCAATCCACCTCTTTGAAGTGAAACTCCTTGATTTATTAGTTCCCTTTATGTTTCTTTTTTCATAGATGACGTGTCGACGATTTATTCCCATTAACAGACAATATTGACATCTCAATATTATGAATTCTATAGATCCTTGCATATAATTTACGTTCGTAGAGGAAAATAATAACCTTTCTAAGACCTCGTAATTTCACAGTTCTGTTTATCGGAAGCGATCCCTTCTCATAATCTTTCACCTCATCTCTAACCAAAAGATGCTGCTTTACGCGTTTACTGCCTCTAAAATTTGCTCGCCTTCTCAATGAAGCCTCTATCTTTACCTTAAAGCAATCGCTGTAGTGTGCTTTCTAACATTATTGATTCAATCCATAGAAAATTAATCTCACAATCTACTAAACTCTCGAATTCGAACTTCAATAATTTATTTTATCCGAAAATCTCCCAAGTTGCAAAAATTTTGAATAAATTTGAGTTTTAAATCTTTTTTCACCTGTAAATAAACTAAATTTTATCAACTTTTAAGACCCTGTTGCTGATATTAATTTCGGGAGCATTATTAAATTCCGCGTCCTTGTGGTCTTGCGTATATTCTACATACTAAACGGACCCTTAACATTAAAGAACACGAAAAGAAATAATTAAAATCAGGAGTTTATCTGATCTTACATCGCTATACATAGTTGGAATTCTAATCACACGTTTGAGTTTTCTTCTGCTAAAATCCTTCAACAATACTCTTCGTCTACCGAAACTGATTTTTTGAGAGTAACTCCATATTTTAAAAAAGTCTAATAATTTAGTTTATTAGCTTTCTAATGTCTCATCGTTTCCCAACAAAGTCTTTTCTAATTTAATCTGTTGAGCACTGGGGTTACCGCTAATTCTCCTCAAACTTGTTTCATATCTTTTTATTATATTGTTCAAACTTATTCCTCTGTCCCTATTGGTTAAAAAAATTTTCACCTGTTTGTCTCTTTAATTCTCTATCATCATTTAGAGAGCACCTTTTGACCATACAACCTCAGGTTGCAAAAAGAAATGCACTATCAAGGATTTACTTTTAGAGTTAAACGTAAAAGTTATTTCAGAAAAAAACAAGCATCTTAAACAAACAATCCACTTTTCAGTCTTTTGGGTACGTCTTTTTCATGAAGCCGACAGAAGTGGCATTGCCCCATCAAGAAAATGACAGACTAAAATTAAAAGCGTTTGCGAAAAATCATGTACCTTCTATAACAAGTCAATGGAGGTAACTTCTAAGTACAACCAACCTTCATTAACTCCTATTTTACTGTGGATAGTGGTCACTCCCTAGAGGTTTCACTGTATATATTATATATATATATAAACACGAAAACAAAATATAAAATAAAATAAAATATATACATATATTTTTTTTATGTGAAAACATAAAGGTTCTCTTCAGAACTCATTCCTTTACGATGGTAAATGAAATATTTCAAAATAAAGAATAATTGTACAACTATCCTAAGATAAAAATTACTCCTTACAATGCGTCTATATTGCTAAAAAATAAAAATGCAATTGAAAATGAGTTTGAAAGAAAAGAAAGCAGAAAACAAACTTACTGACCTGGAGTAAAAATTAAAATGTTTTAAAAATCGATATACTAATCTAACATTTAACAAAAATTTCCACTTTCAAATAGGTAATCGTTGTAGGAAGCTGTAGGCAGATGTCATTTATATATATAAATATATAT